GATGAGATAGCCCCCGTGGTCATAACGTATAATATTTGTCATTAAATATTCAATATCTTATTACAAAATATGTAAAATAATTATGCCACAGGCAAAAGAACAGCCGATTTATTTTATATACAAATACACTATAACCATAAATATTCCTGGAGCTAATTTGAATGAAATAATTTGAAGAAAACATTAGTGTGACAGATGAATACAAATGAACATGAATAAGATATATAGATCACCAATATAAAACAAATCTATTATTGTGTTTCAGTGTTTCAGTGTTCTTTGTTGTTGAGTTTGTTCCATAAAAGAAATCCAAAGTGCGATCTACTGTGCAAAACGATTTGATATTCCCATCACCAATACAGTAGGTTCATTTACGTTCTACAAATACGAACGCAAATAAAAAATAGTTCCGATTAGGACTGAATTGAATGAACTTCTTCATGGAAAACAGTGGTATTATACAAACTACCGCTCGTCAGTTGTTTTCAAATTTAACTTTAAAGGCTTATGGATACGGGCGTCCTGCAAATCTAATGTTTCCAAAGATTTGGTTGCTTAATTTTGCGCGTGTGCGATGGGAAGCCTTAAGTTTCCCTTGCGTCTGACAACATCCACGCAACACCAATGTAAGGTGCTTGGGTTACAGTTAGTCATTGCTGTCATCGAGTGTATACAAGAAGCAAATGCAGAGAACCTTTATTGTATGTAATATGATTTGTGTTCTAGGATTAACATCATTATTTGTAATTAAACACCGAAATATTTGTCCGCAGGTATAAGTTTCGGGTTTCTCTAAGTTCTTCAAATTGTCTGTCGATGCCCTGTGTCTATCAAAGGTATGCACATGTAGAGATACCAATTTATTTGCAAGCTTTATTAACAAAATAGGTATTTTTAATTTACCTTGAATTTTGTTTGTTTTTTGTTTGTTTGTTTCATTTTACCAACAGTATTTCAGTAATATAGGCGGGTAGATTCCTAACCATCGTTCCTTGGAAGTTACACCAGTACTAGAATACCTTCCTCCGTTCTAAACTACCAAAGCATCTCCCGGGGATCGAACCCACGCCAGAGAGGTAACTGGATTAGAATTCATCGATTCTAACCCCTCGACCACGAAGGCGGTTAAATTTACTTTGAAAATGTGTTTTTAAGAGCTGATTGTTTTTTTTTCTTTTCTTTTTTTTCTTTTTTTGAAAGTGTCGGCGAAAAAGATATAACAGTATGTACAAGGTCTTGTGAATTTCTCTTTTTTTAAAAAAAAAAACAACGTTTGTTTAAAAACAGTGTGAATCTACTACAATGACATTTATACCAGATGAAAGCAAAAGTTCGTATAAAAATATAAACGAGTAAGAATGCTACAAACTTACTACTCATTTAAATGTTAACATAGTAAATACTTTATAAGTGTTAAATGAATGAATAATATTGTATAAAATTTAATGAAAGTTTATTCGTATAAGAAAAAAAAACAACATAGAAAAGGATTTATAAGAGAAAAAGGTTTTTCGTATCAAAGATAATAATTGTATTGGACTACAGTAACAATGATTTCATTTGTATACCCTGCATCTAAACTTAACAATTATAAGCAACTTAGTTGTGTCTTTTTCATCTTTGTATTATGAAAATTAAATAAGAAAAAGGTCACTGACTTCAATTATGTATGTAATATGACACAATCCATGTGGTTTAAATAAATCATGGTGACAGGTGAGTAACTTTACTTTAAAACTGATTGTGTAATTACATTTATATAAGACTGATTAAGCAATGTACTCTTCATCGCACAGTTCAATAAACTGAAAATATGATTATAGTCTAATCGTTAATTTAACAAAGCAGTCAATCCTGGTGTTCGTTTCAGTGTTAATTTGTCTTGTTTTGGATTGAGATTTGCCAAAATTGCCATTAATCTAAATCCATAATTGTTCTCTTCTCAAATCAAAAATCTGAATTGTTACTTTTAAGAATAAGTGGGTCTGATTATTTGATTAATTAAAAGAATCCTCACATCCAGAAATATCTAAGAAAATTGTATATAGTTTTGTCAATCATAAAAATAAGTTGGACGAATATATATATTTCTAGATTAGTATTTTTGTATTCGACGTCATAACTGTTAAGTTTAAGTTATTCATTACAAGTTTTATATTTCAATTTATGAAACTCGAAAACAGAGCGATTTTATATTGAATTTGAAATTAACAGGGAAACTAGTTTACAGAAGGTATGAAAGTGCACGTTCTAAAGGAAGTCAAATCTAGAATACTCTAATTTCATTTCGGTTGGTTCAGGTTGTTTCGGATGACGATTTCAACGTTTTAGTAAAAATAACGTTCGATATAGTTAAGAAATCTTTAGTCAGAAATATTGTTCAACACACAATTCCATTAACGTTAATACGTACTATGCTTAGGGAAGTGCACATAATATCTACGTAAATTTCCATCCACTGTACATGTATAACTACAACAAAATGAAACAAAATCCTTTAAACATACACATATTTAATACGTATAGATTATTAAAATAATTATACAGTTTCATTCTCATATAGCCGAAAATGTTACAAACAAAATGAATTTATTCCATCCGATGCAATACGATACTGCATCGATTTATTCCGAATGTTGTCGAATTTGATAGAAGAAAACTGCAAAACACTAGTTTCAAAACGGCTTTAATTACTAAAACAAATAGAAATGTCACATTATCTAACATAATTTGAAGATTTTTTGTTTCAATTAATTTTACAATTTATTTCCAGGGGAATTCGACAAAAAACTTCTATGAATCGATCGAAAATTAATTCCTGTTTACAACTAGGGCTGTTTAGACTGTGTTTTTGGCAATATCGATGACAAGTTACATAAACGGGATGAGATTGGAAATACAAAATAGTACAGGATGTTTGCAATGGTTAGCAAAAGCTTTTCAAAATCAGGGTATTTTATTTTAAATGCAATTTTATCATACAAATGTAAATATTGTAGAAAACTCATATCATACTCACACGCACGCAAATACGCGCGCGCGCAAACACATACACGCATACATACACAAACACGCACACAAACACACGCACGCAATATAATTTTAATGTTAACTTTCCGAGGAAAGCGTATAGTAAGAACACATATCTCGAAGCCGAACAAACTATCTACAAAAATTTACGAACAGGAAAAATAACGAGATATAAACTGTAATGTTTTGTGTATTTTAATATTGAATTTGTCATTCACAACATTTGCTATTCGTTTTTAAGAATAAATTGAAAATAAAATTTCGGCTCCTTCCTTGATCAGTACCGCTACTTTGCAAAACAAGTCAATAGGAACAATTGAATATTTCATTTCATTCATATTTTTTTCTTTGTTCACATAAACAAGGTACAGTGGAGCGTTGCTAATCCGAACCCTTCTAATCCGGAATCCTTTCTTATCCGAACGAAGTTTCCGGTCCCGATTTTATTCGTTCTATTTTCAATAGTAAAAGACCTTTCGGATCCGGAACCTGTCTACTCCGAATTCCGGACGATTTTTTCAATTTCTGTTCTTATTTTACTGTAAAATTTACCTCTCGGATCCGAACAGATTTTGCCAAATGTTTCACCTTCATTCAAAATAACAAATAATCGCATGTAGTTCTTGCGTTTTTTTTTGTTGCTCTAGAATGACATACACTTTAATTGAATCTTATATTAGAACATATTGTATTAACTATTAATTCTTTCCTTTCGTTTCCCGTTCGTTCAATGCACTTCGTTATTTGCGTCTTAGAAAGAGTAGAATCTTCTGCAATAATTCTATAAAACACCATGCTTGACAATGATTTCTGAATGAAGCAGTTATGGTATTAACGTTTCCAGAATTGTTTTTAGTTTAGTCATCAGTTGTGTCTAAGAAGTAATTACATAGACAAAGTGGTTAAATTCAGTGAGACCATTTTTTACGTTTATTACACAATTCAGACTATTTCTATAGGTTGATGAGATATATTCCCTAAAGGAAACAATTACTATAATCATCTTTTTTCTTCACTTTTTTGAACTGCAATATAGGGTGTAATTTGTATTGTAAATTATGGGTCAAAATATTGTTTAATCCATAACTGAAATATTCACGTTGCGTTGTAGACTTTATTCTGTATCGTGTTTTTCCTTTTTTTAAATAAATCGTTAAGGCAGGCTAGTAATCCTTTTACAAAATGAAACACAAATTGCAAAAAGAAAAAAATGATTGAAATCATTCCATATGCTAGACACCATTTTGTTCTTTTTAACCCTCAAATCATTTTGCATTCCGGTTTGCTGGTTTTTTTATGTTAGTTTAATTTGCACAATAAATGAAAACGTAAAATTGGCTCGAGTTTCAATGTTGGAATTTTGCAAACAAATCAGAACAAATATTTAAATATCTGTTTTTTGATAGTTTTTATTATCATTTATTTCGTGTTTTCCATTCAGCGTGACATTAACCGACGTTTGCAAATTACCATGGAATTAAATGTAATGAGTATTTTTGTCATGCGGCTTGTTCCGTAAAATGTTAGCACATTGTTTGTTTGGTTGGTTGGTTGGTTTTACAGGAGAGATTTTCGCAAATCAACACTAGGGTCAAAACAACCTCACCTGCTGGAGCTAAGAGACCATAGACTCCAGAAATTTAATAAAAATTAGTCGCCTCTTACGATCACGCGAGCTAGAGGAACCAAATATGTTATGCTACAGTATCTATTAATATTGCTTGCTTTGAAATGACACTCGCTATGCATAGTCATGGCTCGAATATAGCATTGCTGTAGTGAGCTTTGTCTTCGAGTGATAGCTCGTACCGCAAAAATATTTCAAAGCCTCGGTTTGATGAAGTTGCATTGGATTCACATGTTGATTTGGCTTGCAGCCAATAGGTCATGCACACTATATTGACATTTGTTAACTCGTTGCTCTCACCTCGTAATGTCCCTCATACGTAAATTGTGTTTATTTGAATGAAACTCCTACCGATGATCTCTAGGACACTGAACAGTTTTATTAAAATATTCTATCATATTCAATATTAAAATCATACAAAAACGATTATTTTTAAATTGGTACGTGTACAATTATTCTTCAAAAGGCCTGTAAATACCTTACAGAACACTGATGGCACAATAATACGTCTACAAATACTTTTAAAAAATGTATAGAAATAACAATATTTTATAAAGTGACACTTTTAAGTTAATCGGAAATACAGATATGATTATATGATTATACACAATTTATAAACATAGTAGTATTCAAAAAATATAAAGAAAAGATTTTAAAGAAATTAAATAGAATCTTCAAATAAAACAAGATTTATTATTCATGAGTACAGGAAATTTACCCTTTCATTAATTTTGTTGTGAAAATGTCACTAATAACTATAAAACAAAGTGCCATTATATCGCTTAATGGCACAAGACTGATGAGATAGCCCTCCTGGTGATAACGTATGATATTCTGTCATTTAATATTCAATATCTTATCACAAAATATGTAGTATAATTATGCCACAGGCAAAAGACAACTGATGGTTTTTTTTATATATAACCATAAATATTTCTGGAGCTAATTTGAATGAAATAAAAAGAAACATAAGTGCGACAGCTGGATACAAATATGGATCACCATTTTAAAACATAACTATTATTATGTTGTATAAAAGAAATTCAAAGTCATATCTGCCGTTCAGAACTCTTTGATATTCTTATCTATGATCAGCAATAAAGTAGGTTAATAGTAGAAATTTCGTTCTACAAATACGAAAGAAAATTACAAATGGATCAGATTAGGACTGAATTGAATGAACCTATTCATGGAAAACTGTGGTATTATACAAACTACCGCTCGTTATTTGTTATCAAATTTAACTTTAAAGGCTTATGGATACGGGCGTCCTGCAAATCGTACAGTTTTCAAAGCTTTGGTTTATGTGCATCGGGAAGTTTTAAGTTTCTCACATGGTTTGACAACATCCACGTAACAATTGCCACAGACTATTTTTAAGATATCAATTATAGCTAAAAAGTAAGTCTCAATACAACCGTCAGTCAGGACATCGGCAACTGGTCCGCCGGTACAAGTTTCGGTTTTCTTTATTCCAAGGTATGCACACACCGTGAAAAGGAGAGATAAGCGTATCAAAGATAAGTACAGTATTGGACTAAAAATAATAATGATGTCCATTGTTATTGCGAGCATCTAAACATAACCATTTTATAAGCAACATATTTGTGTCGTTTTTCATCTTTACATTATGAAAATTAAATAAGAAAAGGGTCACTGACTTCAATGATGTATGTTATATGACACAATCTAGGCTGTTTACATAGATCATGGTGACAGCAGGGTAACTTTACTTCAAAACTGATTGTAGTTACATTAATATAAAACTGATTAAGCAATGTACTCTTCATCGCGCAATTCAATAAACTGAAAATAAGATTATAGACTAATCATTTATTTTAGCATAGAAGTTATTCCCGGCGTTCGTTTCAGTGTTAATTTGTCTTGTTTCTGATTACCATTTGCTTAAGTGATTTGCAAAAATTGGCATTAATCTAAATCAATAATTGTTGCCTTCGCAAATCTAACCTCTGAATAGATAACTATATGAATATGTGGGTCTTATTATGCAGTGATTTAAAGTAACTCACATTCAGCAATATCCACGAAATTAAATTAAATTTAAATTCGTGATTTTATTATGTACATGTGCCACATCATTAATGATATATTTGAGTTATTCATTACAATTTTTTTACGGTTAATTTAGGAAACTCGACAACAGAGTGATTCTATGTATAATTTAGAATTTACAGGAAGACTAGTTTACAGAAGGTAAAAAAGTATATATATATATAAGTATATATATATTTTAAATCATTATACAGTTTCATTCTCATATAGCCGAAAATGTTACAAATCAAATGAATTTATTCCATCCGATGCAATACGAAACTGCATTTATTCTGAATTTTGCAGTATTTTATACAAGAAAACTACAAAACACTAGTTACAAAACGGCTTTAATTACTAATACAAATAGAAATGTCACATTATCAACATAATGTAAAGATTTTTTGTTTCAATTAATTTTACAATTTATTTCCAGGGGAATTTGACAAAAACTTCTTTGAATCGATTGAAAATTAGTTTCTGTTTACGAATAACTAGGGCTGTTTAGACTGTGTTTTTTGGCAATACCGATGTCAAGTTAAATAAACGGGACGAAATTTGAAATACAAAATTTTGAAGGGTTTTGCAATGATTAGCATATGTTTTTCAAAATAAACGTATTCTATTTCAAATGTAATTATATAATACAAATGAAAATCATGTAGAAAAATCATATCACGCACGGTCGCACGCACCAACTAACGCGCACACAGACACAAACGTTAAGATTCTAACATTAGCTCCTGATAAATATGCAGCAGAAAAGTAAACATGACTATCACTTATATACATGTATATTAGAAACAATATCACAATACAAAAGATTATATAAATATATATTAAGACAAATTATTATTTTCTGTATTTTTAAAATATTCACTTCAGATTTACATGTTGAAATGTTTGTATCAATATTTATTTATTAATATTAATTATTTAATATAAATTATTCTTAAATCCATATTACAATATACTTTTCATGCAACTATTGATTATGAAAATAGAAAATATGAAACTAAACAAATATACACATAAATATGATAATGTCTCATTATAGAATAATTTATTTACGGATAAACATCAAAGGGAAGCTACTCTGATATGCACAATAAAGTAGTTCTCTATCGTTTAGTTTTCCTTTTAAGAAAACACATTAAAATGAAAGTAGGTTACAAATTAGTTTAGCTCTTCGAAGAGTAGTTTTAAAAAGTGTGTTTTAAATGTTTTTAACAAACAACTACTGAAACTGTAACGTTTTTTAAATTGCAATTCAGTAAACAATTATGATGATGATAAAATAATATTATGTCCTCTTTGCTTTTGCAAAAAAAAACAAAAAAACATATAATATGTTTCCTTAAATTGCTTTATACTACAGATAATATTTTCAGTTATTAAAGACATTTAGACATTTTTTATATAAAATCTCCATGCACTGTAAATCACTATATCTATCAATCGATTCATTACAGTAAAATCTTTGAATTGCAATTCATATAGCAGGTATAGATGTCTACCATATCATTAAGTGCTATGTCTGAATTTTAAGCCAAACTTTCCTACTTCGTCAATCATTGTATCAATTTTCTGGCTCTGTTCCAGTGTAAGACGATCTCTCCAGACACCGGGTTTACCTGGAACAAAAGAAAATATATCAAAATAAAGCATGGCCTTCTTCAAACATATGAGGGTAATTTGGCAGTTTTACTTTTTTCTTGTTGCCAGGTTTAATTTTTGAAAAATGTAAAGTGTAACCGACGTAAACAATAACACATAAAAAGTACAGTAAGGAATAATTCCATCAATCAGTGCCGTTAACAGGTGATTTAGATAGTACAATTATGAATTCAAGTGCAAAGTCTGCAGCTTTCTTCGTGTCTCATGTTTTAAATGGAGGAGTAGACTTAGACCATCGAAACCATTTTTGGTAAAGAAACTTTTGGACCAATATTTATTATTTCAAAGTAGTTACAATTTTAATGGCTTACTTTGGCTTACAGAGCATGCAACATTTTCAATTTAGCCTTTTTGGGGCTTCTTTGAGGATTCAATTTCACTCTACTTCAAATGCCAAATTAGCAATTTTACGCTAGTTTGTTACATACAGTATTTTAGCTATACCCTGGCGAACTTCCAAATTACTACCAGTTCCTAAAGTTTTTATTTTCAGTTTCTTTACATGATTCATAATTTGGATAGAACACATTGTGTGCATCTCATTCATAAAATGTATAATAGGGTCCTCAAAATGCATGTCATGATATTGGATTTTGGAAGTTGCAAAACTTATGGTTCGTTGTATTTGAACTACATCTGACCGCTTGGAAACAATGTAACAATCTTCCTTACTGCAGGCAACCAATCATTGCTTTCACACCTTTGTATAGCAAAGTTAAAGCATGTTGGAGGTAATGTGTTGTTCAAGTAATATCGACAGCCTGACACTCACCTTTGTTGATAAAGACGCCATCAGCATTTGGGTTCAAGTCTTTGATATCTTTATAACAGTCATAATTAACCATTGGATTACTGCGCATTGTATCGACATGACAACTCTCAGCAATCTTTAAAATGTCCTCCTCTGTCAAATGACGCCCGAGAAAAGTTGCCATACGTTTTATGGCACCAACCATATCCTGTTAACATACAATATAGAATAAGCAAATTCAGTCATGCCGTGTCCCTATATAGCGAGATTCTTAAGTTGTGTTCTGATGTTATACAAATCGAATTTCAATGTAAAGTAAAAGGATAGAGATAAAAATTGTAATGTCAAAGTCACTATATTTGGTAACTAATGTAAACTATATTATTGTATAATTGCATTCAATAAAATAAAGAAAATAATTGGAAATAAACAAAGTATCGGTATGCATGAGTTTTAAACAACAGATAACAGAACTGTGTATTTCTCAGCCTTATACAAACTTAAATTGACAAGTAAGGTCTGGTAATATTGAATATAAAAGATCTAGGGGAGATCACCGGATAAGATCTAGAAGAGATCCCAGTATAAGATCTAGGGGAGGTCCCAGTATAAGATCTAGGGGGAGATCCCAGTATAAGATCTTGGGGAGATCACCGTTTAAGATCTAGGGGAGATCCAAGTATAAGATCTAGGGGGAGATCCCAGTATAAGATCTAGGGGAGATCCCAGTATAAGATATAGGGGAGATCCCAGTATAAGATATAGGGGAGATCCCAGTATAAGATATAGGGGAGATCCCAGTATAAGATCTAGGGGAGATCCCAGTTTAAGATCTAGGGGAGATCCCAGTATAAGATCTAGAGGAGATCACCGTATAAGATCTAGGGGAGATCAACACATAAGAATTTTTCAGTGTTTTACCTCCACAACATCCTCATACTGTAGAAAAAGTACATTGCTGTCATTTTTATGTTCCCAATATTCTTGCACATGTCTTTGCCATGGACATCGGTAAAGTTCTATGAGATTGAAATTCATTTATCTTAATGTGTTTTCAATACGTACTTACTTACTGGCGTTCGCAATGTGTTTTCAATGAGATATTAAACTAAAAAATAATTTCACACTGTTGCAAATATTGTGCAATATAGACTTTTGGTGCCCGTTCTTTATATTGAAATGTGTGCAGAGTTTAGTGAGCGTCATATAACAACGTCATGTCATAGTTATAGTACTTTTGAAAATATAATGCGATGATTCTTAATACAATATCTACAAGAAACGTTAAATTAAAAGATAATTAGTTTTTATAACCAAAATTGAACCAATGCATGTTTTACAAATTCACCAAAACGTTTCATTATTGAAAAAAGCGAAACATTCTCGCAAATATTTTACTTTAATATATCAAACCAGACAACAATTTTAATAAGTTAATACATGTGAATCGGTGAAATGAGCTTCACCATGCTTCTAAATATAAAATACCAGAAGTCTTCTGGAATGAGTTACACGTGTTGATTTTCGGTTTAATCAAATAAAACTGTATAGCACACAAGAAATATTTTGATAACTGTACAGCATCGAAACCAATGTCTGTTATGTAATAAAACAATGTTGTTTAAAAAAAAAAAAAAATTCAAACCCAAAAGGAAAAAATTAAATCCTTTTTTTAATAATTTTTTAATCCCTTTTAACGAAAACAATAAAGAAATCCCCAAATGTAAAAAATTCCCTCCCCCAGCATCTTCGCATAATCTTAAATCGTTTAATAGAAAAAACGACGTCCTTTGGATTGGGGGACAGATATATCCCTTTCTTTTTAAAGAAAAAAAAACCCTATTTGAAAAAATATTTTTTAAACCCCAAATAAAATTACAGTTTTTTAAAATTCTATTGGCTTAAAAAAAAACTTTTTTGTTTTTAAAAAATAATTCATCTTTTCGGGGGCCAAGTTTTGCAAATTTTAAAATTCCTTTTTTTTTTTTTGGGGAAAAATCATTTAACAAAAAATTTTTTCGGGTTTCCGAAACCCACAATTTAAAAAATTTCTATTTTTTTTTTTAAAAGTTTCATTTACTTTGCAATTAAACAATACTTAAGGTTTAATATAACACTATATCAGGCAATTCCCGTTCCTTGATTAAAGACATGGTTACTACTTGGGATCTTTTTTGATTATTACAATTAGAAAAAATGACTCCAACTCAAAGAGAAATGATGTCATGCATTGAGCATCCGATTTCTTTTACTTCACGCGATTGGTAAAGAATAGGCAAATTAATACATATTTTACGTTTTTCGTAAACGCCGACAGGCTTACATATTTATTGTGTAAGAAATAGGCCCAAAAACATTGAAATAAAAAGAGTGTTATTCCGCGCAATTGTGTTTGGGGGAATTATTTTATTATAAAGTATTACATTTATTATCCAACCAAATAAAATTTGACCTTTTTCCGATTTAGTCTTTTTGCTAGGACAAACAAGAGTAACAAAACTGGTCCGTAAATTGTGGCGTTCTTTACGGCGACCATAACCAGTACTGTTCTTGAAAACACCGGGTTTTTTGTATTGACACTATGTAGTTAACCGTATTATTTTTCAATGTTAACGCACATAAATTGTCTTGACATATGATGACGAATTTCATAGCGATCCTAGAGCGTTTGCAGTGTGACCAGGTAGTTTAAATACGACTTTATGTTGTTTCAAGGACTTTCTTGTTGTCTCTGTGAGGACGCCACATAACCGCAAAAGTCGCCACAAAGTCCTAGTACCATACCCTAAGAACATAATGTCGCATATCAAGTCCGTAAGAAACACCATAGGAACGCTAATAAGAACGTTGTGTAAACGCACAAAGCATGACGCCGGTTTGACGACGTTCCTGAAATAGGCATTTGTTTATTCTTTAATTTTGTAAGTCGCCGTTATATCGCCATGCGTGTGTGACGGAGGTATAGTTATTATTATAACGCCAGACATTTTATTCGTCAGCATTATAGTTTTGATGTGAAAAAATATAGATGTCACCTTTCCTTTTCCGTTACGCAATTGTTCCGGAAGTAGCGAATAATGCAAATGTGACTTAATCATTCTTGGTGATGCTCGCCTCTCGTGATGTTGTAATCCTGTGAACTCTGAAATCATGATGAGTATTTCATAATTCCCATTCTTTTCACTTATGCCGGTCTTTTTTACATATAACATGTGCTTCTTTTACATTTGAATTATATAGTTATAACTTATAAAGAATGCAATCGATATAATATATATGAGATTTATATAGAGAGAATCAATTTCACTTTAGATATTTACATCAAATGTGTGTTTACTTAAATCAGTTCCTTGTTTTCGCTGATACACATAGTGCTTCTTGCTTATAGCTACATAGTTATTTTAAATCATGTTGAGATAATGTTAACGAACGTAAGACCCTACTTCATTATTTCATACAAACATAACCCAGTTAGAAACAAATGAGCAGCACGCTTCCACACACGTACCTTTAAACATAGTTATTCCGTTATTAACCTCTGCATGTTCGAGTAACTGAGGAAAGCGTTCCTCCTGTGGCACTGTTTTAGCCGTGTCAAAATCTAGTGTCATTATATGGTAGACAAGCTCTTGTGTCATAGTTGTACCTGTGTTTATAGAATAACAATGAAAAAACCAGGAACCACAGTATTATTCAAACGTTAAATACAAGTTGACCTCAGAAACATTCCTGTAATAATAATTGTCTGGCAACGTACGGTAGGCCATCCCTTGACATGAACTTTTGTTCAGCGCAAACTTAAAAACACTTTGTATTTATAGACTACAAATGTGTTAAAATAACATTCAATTTAAAGATCTTGTAACACAATTTTTTATGGTTTTATATCATAAATATGATGCTTAAATTAAGATTTATTAATATTGTAAGTTCCAACAAGAACTGTCGGAGGACAGTAACGCTCGACTATTCGAAAAGTTGTCACAAGTGTGTTTCTGCTTACCTATATGAATACATAAAATTGTCCAAAAAGGTACAAAGGCTTGTTATTAAGATGTTTTTATCGAGTAAATCAGTGCTTTATTATTATAACATGTTTAAAATGCATAAAATTGTTCAAAAAAGGCACAAACCCTTCAGTAGTTATGGAGATATTTGCTTAACCAAGAATTTCTAAGTAGAAAAAGGGGCATAATTATGCAAAAAAGCAAATCAGAGTTATTGGACTTGTGCCAATCATGTTAGATAATCACAGAGAACAAGTGTGTGAAGTTTAAAGCCATTCCCTTCAGTAGTTATGAAGATACCAGCTTGTGCGCAAAAAACTTAACCAAGAATTTCTAAGTCGAAAAAGGGGCATAATTATGTAAAAAAGCAAACCAGAGTTATTGGAATTGTACCAATCATGTTAGATAATCACAAGGAACAAGTGTGTGAAGTTTCAATCCATTCCCTTCAGTAGTTATGGAGATACCAGCTTGCACGCAAAAACTTAACCAAGAATTTCTAAGTCGAAAAAGGGACATAATTATGCAAAAAAGCAATCAGAGTTATGGGACTTATTCCAATCATGTAAGATGATCACTGAGAACAAGTGTGTGAAGTTTCAATCCATTCCCTTCAAAAGTTATAGATACCAGCTTGCACGCAAAAACTTAACCAGGAATTTTTTAGTAGAATAGACATAATTATGTGAAAAAGCAAATCAGAGTTATCAAACTATGGCCAATCATGTTAGATAAACACAGAGAACAAGTGTCTGAAGTTTCAATCCTTTCCCTTCAGTTGTTATGGAGATACCAGTTTGCACGCAAAAACTTAACCACAGGGACACCAACACCAACAAATAGGCATTAGCTCGAATATTCTACGAATAGTCGAGCTAAAAAGCATTATTTATAACATATTACAGAATCTAACATTTCATGTTAATAAAGGGAGGTAATAAGATATTTGTTAATCATGATTTTATAAGCATAATTATATACATATTTAAAATTCACTTAATTACAACATACGGGATCTTTAACCCCTAAAAGCAATTAGATGCGGTATCGAAAAGTCCCTGCTTAATTAAAGACTATCATTTAAAATAACTATTGGTTGCTGTTAATCAAAATCCACACAACTCTGTTACGATCGGGGCATTAAAATTGACACTATCGGGGCATTAAAATTGACACTATCGGGGCATCAAAATTGGCACTATCGGGGCATTAATATGGACACTAATATATCATTGTTCTACCGTATCTACTTTGTTAAAACATTACGTTTATCGAAATGTGTGTGATAATAACATATTTTTGTATGCTCATGAATTATTCGGATTAATGGTCCCAACAAAATTGAAATGTTTGTATATTCAGTTTTCTCTCTTTTGCGTTTTAGGGCATAAGCTATTGTGAAAATCTCATTAGGAAATAGACTACCTGATACAAAAAAAATTTTCATTTTCAAAATGAAACCTGGAATGTTATTTATGTAGAGTTTTTATATCATGTATCCAGCGTAACATTATTGTTTAATTTTAATCTACTACCACGTGCTACCTTTGTAATCAAGTTACTGTCATATCGGCGTATTTTTTTAATCTGCAGCAATCGATATCGATTTCAAGTTTCAGAAACAATAATATGTTTAAATATTTGACAAGCTTTTACTTTTAAAAAGAGATGGCATGGTTTTATTGCAATTTACTGTATCTCTTAAAGTGACAAATGGTATATTTATCATTTTTTATTTTTCATTAATTATAAAATAAATGTATATATTACCCCTTGAATTTAATTGAATTTCCATCAAAAATTCAAGTTTATGTATGTTTATGAAGATTCTATGAAATTCAAAATTAGGGAAAGATATATTTTGGAGATGTTCTGATGTTCTCACAGGTCATAACTCTGGGGGAAAGATCATATTGCAAAGCAGTTAAGGATGTCAAAACCTTTTTGTTGTTTTCTTCAATAAACCATGTTACTACATGCATCAAATATTACCAGAGCAGCAAGAAGCATTACCTACATGAGGCAAGTCGTAGACAGAAAAAAAAGATTTTCAAAATGAAATGGAAAGTGTAAGACTATTAATACAGAAAGCCTTTATTGACATTATGCCATTTGTGCAGATATATATTTTACAGAAGAAAAAAATGCAGAATTATAACATCAGTGGTCAATCTATGAAAGATTACTCGAAATGAAGGTCCAGACTGAAACAGAAAATGCATACTGTTTCGGCAGGAGACTTGTCAATGATTCAAACATTTTCTTCAAATTAACAACATTGAAATATTGTAAATCCTATTGTATACTATTGGAGTTTGGTGAAATTATAGGCTGTTGTTGTGAGAAACAAATATTGTTGTACTACTACTCGTAGTTTACATGCACGAACGTTACTGTGCCATAAAACCAGTGATACATTCATGTCCTAGTTTAGATAGCGACTAGTGCATTGAAATTTTATATCATTTTGGTCATTGTTTGCACTGCAACACGATGTTCTGGATACAGATTTAGTTATTACAATAGAAACAAGAAAAGCATTGATGCAAAGCATCAAAGGGCGTCCAAGCAAGAAATGCAGCAAGTGAAGATGAACTAGTAGACATATGATGACAAGCTATTCTTATAAACTTTTCAATTGTTTTAACAAGAATTGTATATCACTTATGAATGAGCGGACGAAAGACATTGTTCATTATGAACTTTGATTGGCATGCTAGAGATTAGAATATTACTTGTTATTTCTTTATGACCGTGGTTATTAATAGCAACGGATTTTGTGTGTTTGCGTTTGTTTACCCTCGCCACTGGAAAGAGACCATATGGGCGAGCAACGGATATACATATATACAATCATTTATAATCCATATGTGTAACGCATGATCAACACCACACTTGTGTAATTGTCCCTTATTATGTTATCGCTATTAGCGAAGACTCCCTTAAGGTATCTATTCACACTTAGTAAAAATATGGCACTGGTTATATTACCATGTTGATCATGTTGGGCATAATTGTTTATTATACAATAATTGTAATATCTATTAATTTTGATAAAAAAAATTACAGATTTTATGAATATTGTTTTCTTTTCTTTTTTGTGTTTTATGTGCTATTTTATGTTTACATACTTTTTTAAATTTAAATTGTAAAATAAATTTTAAGAATTCAATTGTCATATTGACCAACGATTATAAGTAAAAAACTTACTGGAAAAAGTCAGTAAATAATGGTTAATCTTATATAATATTATTTATTCTAATATTCTTAAACCATGTAAATTTGTATTTTTCTTTATCATTTTTTAAATTATCAATCAATTGAATAATTCATAAAATCTAATTTGTAACTTTGAATAATTCCTCGGCATCTTTACTAACCTCAAATAACAAATTAAATAAAATGTTTCAAAGTTGATAGTGTCGTATTAATACCATAAAAATGTACCTTTTTTCTCAATTATTGTACATATTTATTGTTTTTATCTCATAAAGATAAAATGAAACATGCTATTGTTGTTGTTCTTGTTGGTTTTTTTTTTCGAATTGTATGTTTATGTATAAATACAAGAGGGCCATGATGGCCCTGAGGTCGCTCACCTGTATATAGCCACCCCCCCCCCCGGGCCAATTTTTACCCAAGGGCTTTTATTTGAACAGACTTGGTAGACACCCATAAGAAGATGTTTCATGCTAAACATCTAAGTTCTAGCTCATTGGGTTTTTTAAAAGAAGATTTTTTAAGTTTTTACTATACACATATAGTTAAAAACAATGACACCCCTGGGGCAGGGCCAGTTTTGACCCCAGGGCTTTTATTTGAACAAACTTTGTAGATATTTACTTAAAAATGTTTCATGTATAATATCTAAACTCAAGCTATTTGGGTTTTTTCAAAGAAGATTTTTAAGTTTTTGCTATACACATATAAGGAAAATCAATGACCCCCGGGGCGGGCCAGTTTTGACCCCAGGGCTTTTATTTGAACAAACTTGGTAGACACTCACTAGAAGATATTTCATGTCAAATATCTTAGCTCTAGCTCTTTGGGTTCTTTAAAAGAAGATTTTTTAAGTTTTTACTATATGCATATAGGGAAAATCTATGACCCCCTGGGGCAGGGCCAATTTTGACCTCAGGGCTTTTATTTGAACAAACTTGGTAGACACTCATTAGAAGATGTTTCATGCTAAATATCTTAGCTCTAGCTCTTTGGGTTCTTTAAAAGAAGATTTTTTAAGTTTTTACTATATGCATATAGGGAAAATCAATGACCCCTTGGGCGGGGCCAATTTTGACCCCAGGGCTTTTATTTGAACAAACTTGGTAGACATTCACTAGAAGATGTTTCATGCCAAATATCTAAGCTCTAGCTTTTACAGTTCTTTAAAAGAAGATTTTTTAAGTTTTTACTATATGCATACAGGGAAAATCAATGACCCCCGGGCCGGGGCCAATTTTGACCCCAGGGCTTTTATTTGAACAAACTTGGTAGACACTCACTAGAAGATGTTTCATGCCAAATATCTTAGCTCTAGCTCTTTGGGTTCTTTAAAAGAAGATTTTTTAAGTTTTTACTATATGCATATAGGGAAAATCAATGACCTCCTTGGGCCGGGCCAATTTTGACCCTAGGGCTT